CAAACTAGCTGGAACAGATTCAAACAGACCATATATAATATATTAGACTTCGAGACTTGGAAAATACACATATAACATATATATACACGAGATAGTACATGATCAATTTAGACTAGACAAGATCAAAGTCAAATAAAAAAAACATATCCATTGTAAGATCAAACCACCATCTCTCCTAAATATTGTTGACATCGCCAAACGTGACGTGCAAACATTGGATTTTGACTTGTTGTGGTCAATACTGATTTTGGAAATATTAAAATTTTGAAAAGAAGTAGCATGGCGTAATTTGTTCACAAATTTGGCAGAAAGGCAAACAAATGAAGCAGGTTTCCCTTTTTCAAATTCAAATGAATTGATCAATTATAGACGTTCTATACGTTGAGCATACCAGTCCTCGGCAAATTTTATTCTACGTAATAACTATTGTTGATGAACTAGTCTTAATTACTGGTTAACAAATAATGTTGAAAATATCGTCATAGATGGAAATGTTACGGTAGTTTTTACTTTTACAGAAATAACAAACAGATATAACGTTTCGCATAACGCATATCTCAAAAATAAAAATAAAAAATGCGATATATATGCATGTGATAGAGTCCTGGTCCCTATCAGCATGATAACTAAGAGTATGTTTACAAATTGAATAGTACTCCCTCCCGTCCTTATTAAAGTTCTCAGTTTGACTTCACACAGATTAATTAAGAAAATAAATTTGACTTTACTGTGGAGTGCACTGTTTGGCACTGTTTGACACTGTTTGACATTGTTTTGCACTGTTTTATTTCCTAAAATAGAAGTGTGAACTTAAATAAGAGACATCGCAAAAAGAAAAGTGGGAACTTTAATAGGGACCGCAGGGAATATAAAATACTACTCGTACAAATCTACCATCATTCCCTAACGACATGATGATATTGAAAATCACGGAGTAGTTTATAATTTTTTATCATTATATTGTATATTCATTTTTTCTTTGTCACGCTATCAGTAATGATATCGATTATGGAGCTTGTTGGTCTAAACTTTGGACTTTCTTTATACTTTCTCCGTTCTTTTTTGGTTACAACAATCAACTTTTTCACATTTGACAACGCACATGTTTGACTGTAAGTATATCTTAATCTCTATTAATAAAAAATATTAAAAATCGGATTTTGAAAATTTATAATGAGATGAATTTAAAAATGTTTTTAAAAAAAAAATAATTTCCATAAAATAATAGTATAAAATGTAGTCATAGTAGATCATGTGAATAGTGCAAAAAATTAACATGTTGCGTCTAAAAAACGGAGGATAGTATGTTCTTAGGCTTAGAACTCAGAAGTAATTTAAAAAGTTCTAAAAGTTACACATTTGAATTTATAAATTATGTTTAACGTATTAATAGTTTATTAGGGCATATATGTTTTGGTAAATAAATAAGTACTCTGTATCTTTTTTATAAATATTTTTTTGTAAATATTTTTCAACTACTACTAGTGTATTTCTGTAACACCGTCCCCAAATATATTTACTTTTATGTAAATAATGTATTGAACCTTATTAAAGGATTAATGAATTTATGAAGTTATAAATTTTTGTTATTTCTTTCGCGTGAATAGTAAATTGCACGTGGGACCCACACCGGGAGCGGGGGCTGCTCGATATTCCCGAGATCAAATAAATTATTCTTATGGGTCGGGATAATATTTTTATTGTATGGATATCTTATTTAGGCCATGGGAAGGCCTGGGGTTGACCGATTGGTCAAAAGAAGCCCAATTACCGGTACCGACAATTTAACAGATAGCAGCCCAGAAATGAATTTCGGAGACTTCCAAATTAAAGTTTTGGAATATATATTATTTCAAAGGGGCGTTATGAGTGAGAACACATAATATATTTTATTTTACCCGATAAAATAAAATATGATTAAAATAGTCCGAAAAATACAACTTTCGGAACTGATTGTACACATCGGGACACAAAGGGGTGACCTCCCACATGAGTGGGGGCCACCCCACGTTTTTTTGTGCTCAACAAGACCCATGGGGGCTGGAATGACAAAATGATATGTGGAGGAGGATTATTTGGCATCTATAGTACCAAGAAGGACCACTCACCCTCTCTTATTTGTCATTTGAGACAAAAGAGTGTACCCTCTCTCACCCCTATCATCAAGCTCGACCAATACATCAAGGAAAGAAGAGGAAAAGCTCTCAAAACCACCTCCATTGTTGCAGCACGAGCTCAAGAGGATTTGGTCCAAAGAAGGAGGTTTGAGAAGGAAAAAGTTAGGAAAAAGTGTGAATAATTAAGGTAATTACACATATTAGATGCACTCAATTGGTTAGGAAAAGCTCTCAAAACCACCTCCATTGTTGCGCAATGACCTTACTATAATTTCTCCTTTATTTTTCTTCTACCATATGAGGTATATATCATGTAAAAGACCTTTAGTATGGTTCCACATGTTATAAGTATGGATTTATAGGTTGAAAGGTGGTTCTACGTCCAAGAACGGACTTAGAAGCCAAAACGACCGGTTCACCGGAAAATAGCCTTTTAGAGGTTATTTGTATTAATATGAGTTTTATGATTATAAAACCTTGTTAGACACTTGTAAAGGGTATTTCAAGTGATTTCACAAAGTTGGAAAAGTCACCGGAGTTTTCGCCGGAGTTGACCAAAAGTCGCCGGAGTTTCACCGGAGTTCAACCAAGAAGGGTAGAACTTCATAACGCTAGTTCAAGGTGAGTGGACGGCTTAATATCTTATAACTTTTGGGTTAATTATGAGATTACCTAAATGAATGTTATATGTGTTCATAATGATGTTTAAAAGATATTTAAACATGTGATTAGTCAATAGGGTTAAGTTGCAAGAAAGGAGTTAATTGTTATACATGGAATATGATATGAGAAATTTTATAAAAGGTATATTTGCTTGAAGTGTAAAAGAAGCACAAATGAATATTTTTAACTTAATTATATGATGATTAAGTTAATAAGTGTAAGACTTGAAATGGCGGTCAACGACAACGTTGACCGATGGATAATGTATTAATTAATATCGGTTGATATTAGTTAATTATACATTTATATAATTGCATGGCTTTGCATGGATTATGATACATAAGCTTTATGTATTGAATTAGTTATGAATGACTAAGTATGATATAGACTCTATATAGGTTGATAGGAGGTTGATCATAGGGAAATATTTTGGGGGAGGACCCTAGTACTTAAAAGTACTTAACACTCAAAACTTGGTGGAGGACCCTAGGACTTAAAAGTCCTTAACACTCAAACTTGGTGGAGGACCCTAGGACTTAAAGTCCTTAACACTCAAACTTGGTGGAGGACCCTAGGACTAAAAGTCCTTAACACTCAAATATAAATTGGTGGAGTACCCAAGGATTATGATCCTCAAAACTCATAGATTATGATATTGAAATAGGGACAAGGAGGAGTCCTATACACTCATAGGTATATGGGTGGGTTGGGGTTTTTAGTCAAGGATATTGACTATTACTATTCTTCCAAATAAAACGGTGATCTACGGATCGGATATTTTCCAAGTATATATATATATATATATATATATATATATATATATATATATATATATATATATATATATATATATATATATATATAGGAAACTTCATGTCAAGCCGGCCTGACGGGCTGTCCCGTCCGGCCGAGCCCGTTTGGGTACCTTCCCGGTGGAATTATTTGATGAACATTTTTGAGCATGTTCCTCATCAAGTCTAGTTTTTCCATACCAAATTTCAGCTCAAAATTCGTTCGGGAAGGTCGTCAAATGATTTTTTCAAGTTAACTGGTCCGGAATATGTATTTTCCGGACCAGTTAACTTGCAAAAATCATTTGACGACCTTCCCGATCGAATTTTGAGCTGAAATTTGGTATGGACAAACTAGACTTGACGAGGAACATGCTCAAAAAATTTCATCAAAAAATTCCACCGGGAAGGTGCCCAAACGGGCTCGGCCGGACGGGGCAGCCCGTCAGGCCGGCCTGACATGAAGAGCACTCTATATATATATACAAAAAAGATCAGGTCCAGCCCTCCCCGGTCCAGCCGCCGTCCGAACTCCGCCGTTTGGGGCGGTTCCCGGTGGAATTTTTTGATGAAATTTTTTGACCATGTTCTTCATCAAGTCTAGTTTGTCCATACCAAATTTCAGCTCAAAATTCGATCGGGAAGGTTGTCAAATGATTTTTGCAAGTTAACTGGTCCGGAAAATACACCGGGAACCGCCCCAAACGGCGGAGTTCGGACGGCGCTTCCCGTCCCTCCGGCTGGACCTGATCACTTCTCTATATATATATATAGGGGTTGGTTCAAGTAAAAAGTAGTCTTCCCATGAAAAGTGGGAACAAATCTTGGCCTTTGAACACTTGAAAATGGATGGATTAGATGAATTTTAAAAACAAGAGACGGTTTTAAAAAATGTGCAAATATTTATACCATAAAGTGGATAGTTACTGATTAAAAGTGTACTCATGCGTGTTAAAAAAGCTTGTCAAAATTTTCTAACTTCTGCACTTTTTATTTTGTACTGTATTGCACTTTTGTGCTCTAAGTTTGCACTTTTTGACCATTCTGATACACATTTGTCACAATATTTTCAATAAAAGTTCTTCATAATTACCAAAATGCCACCGCGTTTTTCACTTAAAATTTGATCTCTTCCATCCATGCTCACTTAAAATTTGATCACCTAAAATCTGGTCCGGAATATGTATTTTCCGGACCAGTTAACTTGCAAAAATCATTTGACGACCTTCCCGATCGAATTTTGAGCTGAAATTTGGTATGGACAAACTAGACTTGACGAGGAACATGCTCAAAAAATTTCATCAAAAAATTCCACCGGGAACCGCCCCAAACGGCGGAGTTCGGACGGCGCTTCCCGTCCCTCCGGCTGGACCTGATCACTTTTCTATATATATATATATATATATATATATATATATATATATATATATATATATATATAGGGGTTGGTTCAAGTAAATAGTAGTCTTCCCATGAAAAGTGGGAACAAATCTTGGCCTTTGAACACTTGAAAATGGATGGATTAGATGAACTTTAAAAACAAGAGACGGTTTTAAAAAATGTGCAAATATTTATACCATAAAGTGGGTATTTGAATTGGGTACGTGAAAACTTATCTCCATCAATGAATCTTTCTAAAATCAGATCAAAGACATTAACCAAGTCAGTAGAGTCTTTCGAAAAATGAATCTAGAGAACAACTAGGGGGGTCTCCAAGCCACATTGGATGATTATGATAACCAACAGGCAACTTACCCTGAAAGACAAATAAATGGAAATTGACAAATACTATCATATTAGCTAACAATATACCTCACTTGCTCCAGTTGTATCATCAACATGAAACTCTAACATGACATCAGTTTTTCCCTGTAGCTGAGTTTGTGAGACATCTGCCAGTGATATCTCAAATGCTAGCTTAGAACCAACAAGAAATTGTAACATGTTTTCTTTCAAACTACCAAACACTTGCTCATGGATATTTGAATTACTATAAACTATTTTTGGGGCTTGCATGCCCATGTTGTTGGCCGGTTGTGGCTTATAACTTACCGTTGAATATTTCCGCTATTCATTGGTTTAAATGTGATGTTGTTATATATGTTTACTACTGAGTATGGATGGATTGTTTTCTCGAACACCTTGTGTAATTAAGTGAGGTTGACTCGCGGGTGACGTCACTTGATTATACGGCGGTTGTACACGCGCTTGGATTGCGATCTGGGGCGTGACAATTTCATTGTAATCTCATACTTTCTCAAATTTTTCACTATAATATTATATTTATGGTTTAGAGTAGTTGGATTTATAAATTATGATTTCTATTATATAAGTTACCTTATTGTCTTTATTAGTTAAACTTCGCAATTCTCAGTTTAAGGCACACTTCTCACGTGATCTTTTTCCTTCTTTATAATTATATTCGATCTATCAAAAGTAGGTTTTTATTATATTGTTCAAGAATGAAGCATGGTTTATTATTCTAGCAACTTGATTTCTAGAGAGATCACCCTACAGAATTACTCACTTATCTGTCACACATCCCAAAACTACTCACTCACAAACACAATTAATTTTTGAGTTATTTACATGTGCACTTCATAAAAGACTTGATTCCATTAAACTCTTCTCAGGGATAAAATGTCTCTAATTAATACACCGGAAAAAGGGTTGTTGGTCTTATGGGAGATCAGCACCACCCTTTGATTCAGGGCTTAACCGCCCAACCTGTTGGCACCATGATAACCGCTTTCGCGGCGTTGTAGTAAAACGGAGTCTAACCTTTCAGTTTTTCCCCGAGTATCGTGTCTCTCGAGGAATGGCGGAGGAGCTTCTTGATTTCAAGTCCAGTCACAGGTTATCGCAAATTATTGGAAGCTTTCCAAATTAAAATTTTTGATTGATTTTCTAAACTACTTTTTGGAAAAGAAAGTAAATTAAATTGTGCAAATACTAATGATGGCTCAAAAATAGACTAAAGGAAAAAATATAATATTAAACTTAAATGGATTGGTGCAAATAAGGGCAATGAATTGAGTAATTAGAAATGGATATATTCTTGAACCTAGTAATTAGGGAAATTAAAACTAAAATTGGACTAATAATTTCTTTCCTCATAGACAAGAATAGAAACTATTTTCATTAATTTATCCTATTTCTAGGTGTCATTAATGTGTTCAAAAATGGTTGGCTTGAATTAAATTCTAACCTCATAGACAAGGTAGAAATAATTCTCCAATATTTTAATTAATAAAAATAGCCGAATTCATTAACTAGTTAAACTCATTATTTAAGCAATTGAATTTATCTCTCATAGACAAGATGTAAATCCCTTTCATTAAATTATCCTATTTCTAGGCCTTATTAATGTGCTTGAATATGGTTGGCTTAAATTATTTTCTAATCTCATAGACAAGTTAGAAATAATTTTCCAAGAATTTAATTAATGAATATGGCTAACAATTATTAATTACTATTTCATCATTTCAAACAACTAGTCCAAATTATTAATTTTAATCCCTAATTTTCGGTCAACAAGTCAATCCATATTCCTTTAGTCAATTCATGCCCAAAACAAATTTAGCTAATAAACATCATTTTTTCATTTAACAATACAATGAATAAATTCAACATTAACAAGGAATTAAGCATGTATAATAGAAAAAATTAAACAAAAATAGTATTCTTCCAAAATAAACTTGTAGAACTAAAATATCACCTTCTGGAATTTTTCCCGAATTTTATAACCTAAAATCCAATTTTAACAACTAATTGATAATTTTCCCAATATTAACTAGAAAATACAAAAAAAGCAACTACAAATATTCTAAATTCGTTCTAAATTTTATATTGAATACTAGGAGTGATATTACTGTGAATTTAACTGGAATTAGGACAGAAACTAATTTTTTTCCTTTTTTGAGTATTTAATTTAATTTACGCAATAATAACAACTAAATGCCAGAATTAATTAAAATTTACTTCTACTTCATAAAAATTAACTTTGTTTTGATAAATAACTACCTTGAGGCTAGTAAACAACTATATAATTAATTGGAATGGATTTAATGTCAACAACTATTTTATTCAAATTTAAGACGAAAATGCGAAATAGTTGAATAATTTTCTGGAAATTTTAGAAGCACAGATAAAAAAAACTAAGTACAGATTCAAATTCTACTCATTGAAAGGATGAAAATACATATAAAGAACTCACAATTTGGAGCTAAAATGAGAAAGATATGAAAGATTGAAGTTGAAGGTGCAACAATGGTGGAAATCCGAGCTTTGAGGAGGAAGAAGACGCCCTTTTTGATCTGATTTGGGCTTGAAAATTGGTGTGTTTGGGTTGAGGAAAAAGCCTGGTTTTTATAGCAGAAAAAATCCCGAAGGCGCCCAAGCAGGCGGCCGCCTTCCGTCGACATCTGGCCGCCTGCCGTCTTCTCGCCGGCAACGCATCGTGGGCCGGTCTCTGTCAGCCGTAGGCGGCCACAGAGGGCGGCCGCCTTCCATCAAAACTGGCCGCCTGCCGTCTTTTCGTCGGCAAATCGGATCGCGGCGGGTCCCGGCGGATCCCGGCCGCCGCAGGCGGTCCAGCAGGCGGCCGCCTGCCGTTCCTGTCTGGCCGCCTGCCGTCAAATCCCACCGGCCGGCGGTTGGTTCGTCGTCTTCTGCCGCAGGCGGTCACCGTAGGCGGCCGCCTTCCGTCCAGTGTCGGCGGCCTACGGTCTTTTCCGAATCCGGTCAAAGTCAAGGGTTGACTTTCCAAAAATACCGTAGGCGGCCGCGAAGGCCTTCATTTTGGCCGCCTGCCCGGCCGCCTGTGAGATTATTTGTCCGGCTTGTTCCTTATTTTGTGCTCTTCAATATTGTCTTCTGGACCACCTTGAAATAATGTTTCCTTCTTTCGGTATGATATCATTTGTTGCTCAAATTGGCTCATTTTGTGCTCAATTGACCCGAAATTCCGACAAACATACGATGAATGTGGTTTTCACCTGATTTCATGAAACTTGAACCAAAATATCTAAAACATGCCTTTTCTTTCTATTTTCAATCAAAAATCGCTTAAATTTGATAAGAAAAATAAGTACAAAAATGGACTTATCACACCACAAAGTGGTGCAGCCCCTCATGTCCATCCACCGCTCAGTAGTGGGGCTCTGCACTGCCGTAGTGAACTGTGGGGGGTGCCCCACAGGAATCTACCTTGACTTGGGGACTACAGAGTAATGGGTTAAATAGAGGGTGTCCACTTCCTTATCACCAATTGGTTTTAAGAAAGATATGGCTGCTATTTAACCACAGAACTCTGGAGTTAAGCGAGCCCGGGGTAAGAAAGCCCAAGGATGGGTGACCCACTGGGAAGTTTGTCGACAAGGGGTGAATCGATCCAACAAGTGGTATCAGAGCGAGGTCACAGGTGAATCTCTCGGCTGGTGCTGGGGGGTGATTGTTGGTCTTATGGGAGATCAGCACCACCCTTTGATTCAGGGCTTAACCGCCCAACCTGTTGGCACCACAAAGTGGTGCAGCCCCTCATGTCCATCCACCGCTCAGTAGTGGGGCTCTGCACTGCTGTAGTGAACTGTGGGGGGTGCCCCACAGGAATCTACCTTGACTTGGGGACTACAGAGTAATGGGTTAAATAGAGGGTGTCCACTTCCTTATCACCAATTGGTTTTAAGAAAGATATGGCTGCTATTTAACCACAGAACTCTGGAGTTAAGCGAGCCCGGGATAAGAAAGCCCAAGGATGGGTGACCCACTGGGAAGTTTGTCGACAAGGGGTGAATCGATCCAACAAGGGTTAAATAGACCCTCATACAATCGCACATTGATCACATAAACCCATGTACTAAAAAAACCATCGTATAAACCCGTTTACTTTTAAAAACGGTCAATTTAGTCAATTTATGAGTTTCTATAGTAGGTTACTAGGTTAGAACCGTTTTTTTTACTTTTGGTTTATTTTTCAACTTTTTTCCTTTCTTTTGATCCACTCCCTTGTTCGAATGACCCACACCTCTTTGTCAATTATCTCTTTGTCAATTATGCTTATCAGCTTCTTACTTTTTTTATGTTTCTTCGGATTATCCCGTTCATTTTTCTTTGGAAAAAGGTGCAAATAGGCCCATGTACTAATAAAAAAAGGTCAAATAAGCCCTTATTTAGGAGGCTCTGTCCGGCCGTCGCGATTTGGGCTGGTTCCCGGTTGAATTTTTTGATGAAATTTTTTGAGCATCTTATTCATGAAGTCTAGTTTACTCATACCAAATTTCAGCTAAAACTTCAATCGGGAAGGCATTCAAATGAATTCTTGAAAATAACTGCGCTTCTAACTGTGCAGTTATTTTCAAGAATATATTTGAATGCCTTCCCGATTGAAGTTTTAGCTGAAATTTGGTATGAGTAAACTAGACTTGATAAATAAGATGCTCAAAAAATTTCATCAAAAAATTCCACCGGGAACCACCCGAAATGACGACGGCCGGACAGAGCCTTCTAAATAAAGGCTTATTTGACCCTTTTTTGGTTAGTACATGGGCCTATTTGTACCTTTTCCCTTTTTTCTTTTAACCCATTCTTTTTGTAAATTGGAAGCATAAAATTTCTAAGGCCGGAAACTGCTCACGTCAATTACTGCACCAATGAAGGAGAACCTTTCCATCGATCGTCCTCTTGAAGATCTCCCAAGTCCAAACCCATCCACGGCAACCCAGAAAAAGAAGCGCCAGTGGATTCCCCCTCTCCGGCCGACCGGCCATGGATGTGCTTCGAAGGATTACCTGTTGTGTTGGTCTCCATCCGGTCTCCCCTGAAATTTAGTAGTGGAAGAGCAACAGATCTTCAGCGTCTCCTTCCCGTCTATTTGATTTAGCCAGGCTGGAGGAAAACAACAGTAACGTCTATTTGATTTAGCCAGGCTGGAGGAAAACAACAGTAACGTCATTATATATACAGAGTAATCCGAGGGAACTGGGAATCCGATGAGTTCTGGGAAATGCAAACCCATTGTTTTTTAAGCAAATGGAAAAATGTTTGTCCTTGGACAGTCCAAATATATATAGAGAGAGATTGATGAAAGAAAAAATTGCAGGAATGTGCCGTTAGAATAGAAGACGGAGGAGGGCTGGGACTTCAGAGTTGACGAGAAAGGAGGAGAAACTCAAAACGAATGGAGAAAAATAAAGAGAAAGAACAAAAAGGGAAAAATAAACAGTAGAAAATAGTCAACCTTCCATTAACCGGTTGGGAAGGTTACTTCCCGAGTTCCCGGTGAAGTTGTCACCAAAGGGCACTCATGCCCTTCAACTTTATTTTTGGGCAAAAAGCTTCAAAATATATGAAAGAAGAGCAATTATACCCTTGGCTTAACGGTTCACATGCAACTGCCGTTAAAGTTGCTCCTTGGCTACTGGTACTCCGGATAGCAAATATGAAGTGCTCGTTTGAACAGTGCTTTTTCACAATTACAATAATAAATCACTTAGTAATCAACTTATTAAGGATTAAGTGCTCGTTTGTTTTTTTTATTTTCGGCTTATCTGATTTGTCAGATACCTTTGTCACTAAAGACGCAACTTTTAATTGTGTAATAATAAAAAAATTGAGATTGAAGTAACTTTTTTGTTTAATTGGTTGAAATTACCCTAGAGGATCACTTCAGTTATTTTTCATATAATTAATTTTTTCTTTTTATTAACAAAATATATTTTGAATGTAGTTTTTCATCAATTAGCATAATGAGCTAATATGTGTATATTACCAAATAGACTCTAAAAGTCACTTGAATAGAATCAAATGCGCGAATAAAGAAGTATATTTATCTAGAAGTGGAGAAAACTTGTGGTAGATAGATTGGCTGAACCGAAGATATCTCATTAAGGAGCGTGATAGAAGAACCAGTGATGTGTAAGGAATTTTCACTAAATTCTTAATATATTCTTAAAAACGGAATAAAATCAATACATAGTGTTACATACTCCTAATATATTAGACTAAAGAGTCAAATAGGCCTTCGAACTAACTTAAAAAATGCAAATCACCCCTTATATAGGAGGTTCTATCCGGCCGTCGCCATTTCGGGCGGTTCGTGGTGGAATTTTTAGATGAATTTTTTGAGCATCTTCTTCATTAAGTCTAGTTTACCCATAACAAATTTTAGATAAAAATTCAATCAGGAAACACAATCAAATGATTTTCTGAAATGTACCGTGTTGTTTAACAGCGCAGTTATCTTCAAAAATTCATTTGACTGTCTTCTCGATTGAACTTTTATTCAAAAATATATGTATTAAATAATATGCACCATCTATACGATCGAATGAGCAACATAATGTTATTCCAAAATAAATAATCTCATACATACTATTGTGATATTAAGAAAATTTCTCGTGACTTACGAACACCGTACCACTGGTACACAAAAAATGTAATTCGAAAATCAATTATTTATCCCGTTATGGTTTATGTGGTAAAACAACGCATAAGTTATTTAAAAAGTATTGGTGGATGTGTACCTTTTAAACTTTTTATCTTCAAATAATTTGATCAAATTTTATCCTTTTTTATTTTCAACTAATTTTCCTTAGAGTTGTCATTTCTTACGCTTAGCTTTAATAGTTTAACGTACTACGGAGTAGCACTTTTCTCTAGAGATAAATGTGTAAAAATGTATAAAAAAATATTATGAACCATAATCAGAATTTGAAAGATAATTTTCGAGTATTATTCTCTATTAGTAAAAAATAAATAATCAGAATTTGAAAATTTACAATGAGACAAATTTAAAATTATGTTTTAAAGAAATACTTTATTACTACGTAATATATTAATAAATAAAGCGTAATCAAAGTATTGTACGGAGTATATGAATAATGTAAAATCTGACATGTTGCATTTATTTAAAAAAGGATGAATTCAGTTCTGATTTTAGGACCAAAATATTCAAATTTATTTCTTTAATAGAGTATTAGCTGAAATTAGAAAAAAATAATCAAAGACACTATCAGGATTTAATTTGTTATCCACGGTCAATGTAATCAAAGGAGCAAATTCGATACTTTACTGCGTACTCTGTAGTTGCCAACTCTGTTAGTTCACTTGGTTGGTTCACCGTTACACAAGGGGTGTGTTTGCCCTCCTCTTTCTTGATTTTAAAGCTTTTTGCCCAAAAATAAAGTTGAAGGGCTTGAGTGCCCTTTGGTGACAACTTGAAGGTGGGATTTGCCCCCTTTCCTTTGTTTTTGCATAGTAAATATGTTTAAACGACCCTTTTATTAGTAGAGGGGCTAATGTGACGGATTCATGATAGTACAAGGGTCTATTCGACCCTTTTTCCTTTTTTTTGAAGAAAGGCAACTCAACTTTCATTAATAGAATCAGCACTCAGTACATGGGAAATAATACTAGGAGGAGAACCATTCCAACAAATACAATCAGACATAGAACACGCTGCCTGGGCCAACCCATGAGCCGTCGCATTCGTTGACCGCCTAATATGAGAAAAAGATATATCAGAAAAAGATAATTTAATCTCTCGTATATCACTGGCAATGACTCCCGCTAAAGAAACACTCGAACCATGAAGAATCTCCGTGATAGCTCCCGAAGAGTCCGACTCCACATCCACAACATCCCATCCTTTATCTTTGATCCAACTCACAGCTTCTCGAATACCCACCAATTCAGCTTCCAAAGGGGATAAACATCCCCGCCAGACTTTAGCAACCCCTGCTAAGAACACCCCGACATCATCCCTGACAAGCCACCCCAAACCACTCCGGTTGCCCCTGACCGCTGCATCAATATTCAGTTTGAGCCTCCCTGGAGGAGGCCTTCTCCAACCCGCAGCAACTCTGCTTCCAGAAATGCTCTGCCCAGGAGCAGTCTTCTGCGCAAAGACCCAGCTGTCAACAAAGACTTTGGCATTCATCAAGACTGATTTACTATCGGTTTCCAAACCATCCCAGACCCTTTTATTTCTCTCGCACCATACACCCCAACACCCCCAAATCATTTTAGTTAACCCATCCTCCTTCTTCACCAAAAATTCACGTTTCACCTGTTCTAAGAAAGACCCATCGGACGGCGGCACCCAACTCCAATCAACCGCGGCCCATGCTTCTTTTGCGACCGGACACGAGATGAAAAGATGATACAACGTTTCCTCTTCAGCCCCACACAAACCGCAAGCACTCGAGCAATCAACCTTCCGGGCTCTCAAATTAATCTTCGTTGGAAGCAAATCGCAGCACGCCTGCCAAAAAAAATACTTGATCTTCGGAGGCAACTTCCACTTCCACATCCTCGTCCATCCGGTCCACCCATCTCCTTCAACCTCCCCAATTAAAGCTCTATAACAACTTCGAACTGAAAAATGCCCGGAAGTCTCCCACCGCCAACACAATCTGTCCGGCACCGACCTGATACTGATAGGAATACCCCTGATTAGCTGCACATCACGTTCACCAAAGATATCTTGAAGCAAATCCATGTCCCAACTCCTCCCATCGTTACAAATCAGCCCTGCGACTTTAGCATGTTCCAAACCCAAGACCGGCTCTGTGGATACCATAGAATGCTCACTATTCGGGAGCCAAGGTTCTGTCCAAATATTTATATCATTCCCATTCCCCAGCCTCCAATAATATCCTTTTTTGACTATATCTTGTGTCTGAAAAATACTCTGCCAGATAAAAGAAGGATTATTACCCAACCTAGCTGTCAAAAAATTCCCGTCCCTAAAATATCGGGCTTTATACACCTTCCCGACCAAAGAATTTGGTTCTGAAAAAATTTTCCACGCTTGTTTAGCTAACATTGCCACATTAAATTCTCTAAGTCGTTTAAACCCCAAACCACCTACTTTTTTTGGACGACACATAAAATCCCAAGCTCTCCATCGTATCCCTTTACCAGACTTCCCCTGCCACCAGAACCCATTCATAAGAGTCTCAACCTCCTTACATAACTCCTTTGGAAGAAGGAACACATTCATAGCATAACTAGGCATAGCCTGAATAACAGATTTAAGTAGCACTTCTTTACCTGCCTTAGATAAGAAACGATTATTCCAGCTATGAATTCGATTAACCATTCTTAAACGGAGATAATCTAGAATAGCTTTTTTATTCCTCCCAACAATGGCCGGCAAACCCAAGTAGCGCTCATCGCTCCCCGCCAAACTTACCCCCAAAAGTTCTATTAAACCATCTCTACAGTCTAACGAGACATTTGGGCTGAATTTTTTTTTTGATTTGCCCAAATTAATTACCTGTCCCGAAGCTGCAGCATAATCATGCAACGTTTCCTTCACAACTGATGCTTCACCATGATTCGCCTTAAAAAATAAAAGACTGTCATCTGCAAAAAACAAATGACAGACTCTAGGAGCCCCTCGTGCAACCGCAATACCGTGCAACCTCCCAGCCCGTTCATGATTCTCCAGCAGAGCACACAAACCTTCTGCAACTAAAATGAACAAGTATGGTGATAGCGGATCACCCTGCCTCAAACCCCGTGTTGGGATAATTGGCCCTAACTCAGCATCATCAAATGGAATAGAATATGAAACCGAGGAAACACATTCCATTATGAATCTGATCCACCTCTCAGCAAAACCCAGATGTTTTAACATACCCTCCAAAAAAGGCCATTCAACTCTGTCATAGGCCTTACTCATGTCCAGTTTAAGACTGACAAACCCAGAATTACCTTGCGTTTTGCGTTTAAAAAAATGTTGAGACTCAAATGCAATCATAACATTATCAATAATTGATCTACCCGGAATAAAAGCACTTTGATACTCAGATATACACAGATTTAAGACCCCTTTCAATCTATTCACCAGTACTTTGGAAAATATTTTATAAACAACATTACAGAGAGCAATAGGCCGCCAGTCACCAATAATTTCAGGATTCTCCTTCTTAGGAATCAAAACAATATTCGTGTGATTAATTTTATCCGGAAGGATACCTGACTGGAATGCCTCGGAACAAAACTTAACTACGTCGGGACCCACCACGTCCCAGTAGTGCTGGAAGAAACCCGGGCTCAAACCATCCGGACCTGGGGATTTGTCTGGATACATATCAAAAACAGCCTCTTTGACCTCCTCACTCCTGATAGGTCTCAAGAGAGCGAGATTGTGAGAATCATCTAATCTCCTCGGAATACAATGAAAAGCAAATTCACCTGTATAATTCACAGAAGAGAAAATATTAGTAAAATAATCGCCAATTAGGCGACCTACTTCCATCCTGTCCGACTCCCAGGCTCCACCTTCCAGCCGAAAGCCCTCCACTCTATTTTTCCTCCTTCGCTGCTTCACTGAATTATGAAAGAACCTAGTATTAAGATCTCCTCCTTACAACCAGAACTCTTTCGCCCTCTGTCTCCAAAATAAGTTTTCTTGTTCTAGTAGATCCAGATACTCCCGCTTAACCCGCTCAAAGACCGCCAGATGCCATCCATCCGAAAATTTGCGAAGATACTCTAAGCGCCTCCTGCAAAATTGTATTCTCTTGCCCAAAGACCCAACTGCTGACCGGCCCCACTCCCCAACAGATTTGCAACAGTAATCAATCTGGCCCATAATGCCTGAACTAGCTCCTATGCCCCAACTTCGAGCAACAATAGTGCGACAATCTTCATCTCTGAGCCATAAATTTTAGAACTTAAATTTGCTCCTCCGATGAAAGCTTCTAGACGGGATAAGCTTAACGAGAAGAGCTAAATGATCACTAGGAGCCCCTTCTAAAGACTCCGCTGCAGCTTCACCAAAAATATCTAACCAGTCCTCGGACACAAGGATTCTG